CATCTCACAGCGGATGCTGGCCAGCTCCTCCTCTACAGAGTTAATCTGCCCTTGGATTTGTTGCAGCAGGCAGCCGTAGCGAGATTCGGTTTCTGCCAGGGAGTTTTCCAGAGAGTTTTTCTGGAAGTGGAAATGCAGGAGTTTAGGACCAGAGCTCTACCCATCCCTGCCCCGCGCAGGGGTTTCCCCCTGGGAGGTGGGAAGGGCCCTCGGCGATCCTGCCCCACGTACCGTGCTGAGCTGCGCCTGCAGTTCGATCTCCAGGTTCTGAATTTCACGTCTCAGTTCAGTGAGCTGGTGGCTGCTGGTCTGGATGTCCTGGCTGCTAGAGGTGACCTGCCGATTGACTTCTTCGATCTGCAGGAGTCAAACCCCAGACACACTTTCTGAGTGAGGAAATCCCCTCAGGGAGCGGATGACTGGGAACAAAGATAGACGGGGAGCCTCTCCCTTCCACACTGTCCTCATTGAGGCCAGCCTAGTCATTGCTCCGTCGATGCGGCCACTGCCCCTGCCTTTGCACATCAGGCCTGGCCTGCTCCCCCTCTGCCGCTGCGGTCTTTCGCCAGCAGCTCTGCCCTTCCCATTCCCCAGCTGTGCAAGGGAGGTGGAGGCAAGCAGCGTCCCCCTTTTAGCCAAGGGCATTGCATGCCCGGTACCAGGGTGTCTGGGTTTTCCCACAGGAGGAGACCCCACTTTGTGCATTGCTACGTACCTTGACTTCATACCACTGCTCAACCTCCCTGCGGTTCTTCTCAATGACCTGCTCGTATTCGTTTCTCAGGTCATTCAGTGTCTTTGTCAAGTCTTCGCCGGGGGCAGCGTTGACCTCCACGCTCACGTCGCCACCAGTTTGAGACTGCAGCTGCCTCATTTCCTGCAGAGAGTGCGAAGAGAGAAACAAAGCGCACAGGTCATTTCTTGTGTTGGGGACAGCGGGCAGAGCGGTATCAAGGTTCAAGGGAACACCAGTCACGTGACATAAGGCTGAATTGACTTGCTGTGTAACTTTGAGAACCCTGAAGAATCAAAGGACTGTGTCTTGGCCATGCTAGTTATCATTGGATCGTACCTCCTCATGGTTTCTCTTAAGAGCAATCAGCTCATCCTTCAAGG